AAAATTTCGACTCGGTTTTGTTTCGCTTTCATTAGCTTAATGCAAGCATGAGTAATTGTAGGTTGTGGATAATGTTGTTTTGTGAAATGTTATCCAAAAACATCAGTATACTCGTAATCTTCACAGCCTTTTTTTTTTTTTTTTTTTTTTTTGTTGTGTATAATCTTAAGTTAATAAAATAATAGGTGCTCATGAGAAATAGTTCAAATCGAGTTTTAAGAAATACTTTTCATGTCTTATAAATATCCTCATCTTTAATTTTTACATTCTTTTCCCACATTGTTTATCTACATGTTGTGTAAAAGCTTTTCGGCAAAGATTTCTTTTAGTAGTTTTTTGTGATAAGGATTTATTGAGAACCTTTTACAAGAATATTGCAAAGGACGGCAGTGAACAAGTTCCCAAAAGTATTAAAGTCTTGGCTTGAGCAAGAGAAGTTTTTAAAATAATTTATTTGTTAATTTTCACATGAGTTTCATCTTATCAACAACAATAATTTGAGCTTTATTATGGGAAAAACCATTCCTTTGATTTATTTTGTAATTCGATATATACATGATTTTTTAGACTCAATTTTTTTTAAGATGCTCATGTATTTTTACATTTGATGCATTGATTAATTTTGATGACGAAGGTTTATTCAGTTGATGGTTTTCAGGGCATTGGTTTACAAAGTACCTCACCGAATTAAAATACAGACAGCTTTTGATTAGATTCAGATAATATTTTGATAAGATTACGTGCCTAAAATCAAGGTCTAAATTTGGTTTAAGTTAGTTTTGACTTGATTTTTTCGTGTTAATGTATGCCTAGTAATTCTATTCACATCTATATTAATATTGCAATTAAAATATTTATGCAATTTAAATTTATAATAAAGTTAAGCATGTAGGATCGCTTGAATCAGAGTATAATCAAATTGAAGATGTATCACGCAAAAATAGACAACAAAAAGCATCTCGTTTTTTGAATTCACCCATACATGTTTTCCGTCTTGATATTATCTTGACGTTTCCGCATCCTTTCATTACACTAATTGTGATAATTCAATAAGACTTTTTAGTAATTTAATCAACTCTTGTTGCGTGTGTGAGAGTGAGAGAGAGCATATGTGAAGTTTTGTGTGGGTGCATGTGGTTTTTATTTTATTTTAAAACTATTCCAATGGGAACGGTGAAACCCAAACCCTAATCCTGTAATTGAATGAATGTGGGGAGGGGGGGAAATGGCTCTTCGCAGGTGCAAGGAGACCTTTTCATACCCCTCCTACAAGGAAGTGAGAGCAGGAGAGAGAAGGGGAAGGGCAAGGGCAGCCCCCGATAGGTTAAAAAGCACGGACAGCCTGCCAGCAGTGCCTACCTGGAGCAACTTGGGGTAAGGGAGGCCCACAGACCCAGCCCTAAGCTCGGAGAGAAGGAAAAAGGAGGAGAGGAAAAAAGGAACACCAACAGGAACATCGGAGTAAAATTAGGTCAAATGTCCCCCCCCCCAACTTCAACCCTTAAGTAACAGGAAAAGTAAGTACCCAGTGAGTGCAGAAGAGTGAGTGAGCGAGTGATTCAGATTTTGAAGGTTTCTCCCGATTGGGATTCTTTTTATAAAATGCCACTTCACCACCACATTCCCTTTTTCCTGCCTACAAGGAACCCTGAGCTGAGATGGATCACCCAGGTTTCTCATTTTCTACATGTTTAATTATCAAGATTCTAGAATGCAGAATCACAGAAAAGTGAAGGATGCTTGAAAGCAATGATCACATATGAAATCAAAATACTCTGCTGCTGGTGGTAATAGTTGCAGTACATCTACTCCTAATAGAGAGTAATAGAGAGAGCTTGTGCAGTAGATGTCCTCTACCCCAAATAATCTCTCACCACCATCAAACCACAACCCACTGGTCTCCATTTGTGAGCTCTCACCCAGACAGACACACCAATCAACAGCCAAACAAAGTTTGCTTACTATATCTCTTTCCCTCATGAAAGGTCCACCCTATTTGCCTCTTTCTTTCTTTCTTCTTCTTCTTCTCCATTGTGTTGGCAGCTCTGATAAGCTTTGAGCTCATGACAACCTGTGTGTAAGTGTGTGTATCTTTAGCATACATCAAAACCTCTATTTTTCTCTGCCTTGTTGCCACACAAAGATGAAGCCAGCAAAGCTTGGCAAGCCACACCATTGCCACCCACCTTTGTAAAAAATCTCATGTTGGCTGTTTGTTAGTTAGTGACCAAACCCCAGACTGCACAAGTGATGAGGAAGGTGGGCAGTGACTTTACTCAAAAAAAAAAGGTTGGGAGGGGGGGTTGTTTTGTCTGACAATGTATCTACACACATAATACCCTTTGGAGCCTCCAGAACACCCTTACCCCTTCTGTCAACATAGAGCTGAGTTCTCAGATCCAGTGACATTTGTCATTGGTTCATTCATCTATGCTAGTTTGAGCAATGAAAATTAGCCATGAGTAGCAAGGTGGACTAAAGTACACTGACTACACATGAGGTTGTGCAGTGGCCAGGGCAGGAGGGAAGGAGGAAGGTTTCCTATTCTTCAGTTACATTCATGAAAAGGAATAAGGACAACATGGAAACACATGGGGTGGTATCATGCCACCTTGTTATCTCTTGTGCCAAGGTTGTAGGGTGAGGAATTAGGTCACACAGTTCGCCAGTCAACAAAACAAAACCCAGCAGAACCAAAAAAAAAACGAAAAGAAAAGAAAAGAAAAAAAGAAACAGAAAGCAATGCAACTGGGGGTGGCTTCCACTTAAAGGCCAAACACTACACTCGTAGTTATTTTCTCAGGCTGCTACATTTAAAATGGGGATAAAGTCAGGCTTCTAGACATTGCCTTGTCAGTCCCTTGCCCATCCTCTGCCTGTTTGACACTGGACTGGCACCAGGAAAATTGAATTCAGTTGATGTTTTTTTAAATTTTTTTTAAATTTATTTACTTCATTTCATGTTTTCTTACAAAGAATGGGTATTAAGAATAGGGAGATGAAATCAATGTCTGAAAAAAAGAAGGTGGAACTGAGGTATATTAAATTCAGACAAAACAAATTATCACACTATTTTCTGCTGAGATATTGATAATGAAGTAGCTGAATGGTGAAGATGAGCAAGCTTTCTTACCAATTTTTATTTTTTTAAAATAAAATCATCCAGGAAGTGGATGAATCCGGCTGACCAGTCCAACAACCAGGGTGTGGCGCAAGCATGATCCACATCAGCAGCAGCCGTGAAGTAGAACCTAAGCAACCCGAAGGGATAGATAGACAGATACCCATAACTTACATCCAGAAAATTCAAGTCAATGTGAACAGGAGCTGGGGGGGTCGGTTCTAAAAGCTGAGGTGGCGCCAGGTCAGCAGAGGGAAGAGGGGGGGAGTCGGAAAGCCGGGGCAACAGCGGCAGCAACTGCTGGTTTGTCTGCCGCATTAACTGGGACTGAATGTAAGTTACTCCAAGGTTCCAGGGCAGTACAGTATGGCAACCCGTAGCCTGGGAAAAGCAGGAAGGATTACGCCATTGAAATAAAAATTGGGGGCAAAAAAGAAAAAAAACAATTATAATGCCCGGGGGGGGGAGATTGGAAACTTCCACGACATTGCAAGCGCAAGGGCAATGGGAGCGTAGCTCGGGAACAGGCACCACCACCCGCAATTTAGTGGAGGGCGTATAACCGTGCGATGGCGGATTTTGGAATGGGCCATCATTCCTTCCTTCAAGCCCAGTTAGGTATTCATTCGCCCAACGTGCGGGCAAGGGGGTGTCATTCTTTTACAGTGACCTGCTTTATCTACAGTGCCTCGGTTGTTTTTACAGGAGGCTATTATTATTTGGCGCAACAACGCGTGTGTGGTGGCCATGGAGGAGAGGGCTCGGGGAAACGGTGGTGGTCGTGTTGGTTGAGGGTCCTGGCAGCGAGCGAGCGGGTGGGTGTGCAAGCGTGGCAGGCAGAGAGGCAGGCTTCGGGGTGGGGGTGTGAGACCTGGAAGGCCAAGGTGTAATTAGGGAGGGGAAGTGTCAGAAGGGTCCCCTTGCTCTCTTGCTTATATACTTCCCACCCTTCTGATATTTCCACAGTGGTTGCACTTAACTGGGATGTCCATCGGCTGGCTTGTGCCATCTCCACCCTTGTTCTTACTTACTTACTTAAAGACACTACTACTCTACCTCTTCTATTAGACTGGACTTGAATGCCCAGCTCGCCCTCGTCTGCGTCGTCGTCGTGTACCACCCACAAGGCCCTTTCCCCCTTTCGCCTTCCAACTGTTTGCCGCCATCCTTCCTTCCCACGAAGCCCCTCCCCCCTCCCCCCTCCCCCCCCATTATAATTCTCCATCTCCTTTCTCTGCTGTTCTCATAACCGCGTTGGGTTTCTGCCTCACTGCAACCAAGCCAGCCCTTGACTGCTCTGCTGGTCTTTGTTCGCGTTCCGAGTTCCTCTGCCTCCTTGAGAGACGCGAGACAGCGTTAATAACGGTGTGTGAGAGCAGGCGCGCCGCCTCGTGAGAGGTGAGCTTTGTCTCTGATTGGAGCGGGAATTTGGCTTTCCCTTTTGTGACAAGGGACGAGGTTGAATACGGTGATTGATTGGGAAGAAGGGCGTGCTGGTTTCGTGGTGTAGTTGGATAAGTAGGTGATTGGTATTTGTTGAGGCTCCTTGTGAAAGAGATCCGTCCGGTTTCTTTCTTGCTTCGAAAGCAGAGTTCGGTCGTTGCGAGCGTGTTACGATCATTTACTTCTTTTCCGTTTTGGAGGAAGGTTAGGAATATCACTCTTTTTCCGGGGGTGCTGTGGGTTTTTCTTAGTTGCTGCATTCTTTCTACGGTCTTCGCTAGCGGTATTGAGGAATTGGGGTGCGTCTTTAATCCTGTATCCGTGTTGTCTACTGTTCGGCTATCAATCTCAGGGTCAATTTTTTTCGCGCTCCGGAATTTAAATAGTTCGGAAAATCTCATCCTCTTCTCAATGCTGCTGGTGTAGAGAATTTTTTCCTTACCGTTAATAAGGCTTTGGGAACCATATTCTCTCTGCGGTCGCACTTCATCGAAGTTAGCGTCCGTGCTTTCCTGTCTTCGGGGGTTGCATTGTTTTGATCTATCCGTCAATTTACGTTTTCAGTTCCGAGTCCCCTCTTTTTCAGAATCGTAGATTGCGAGGAGCGTAAGTAGGTTCGTGCCTGCTGCTTTCTCTTCTCCTATCTGAAGCCCCAGGAAGCCCTGCTGGCGACCTCAAGCGTTCCGAAGTTCGCTACGACCGTGTCCTCATTCTCTCTGGTTCTTCTCAGCTTTTAGAAAATTGATTCAGTAGCGGACGAGCCGAGGCTGCGGCCTCGGCTGCTAGCCAGGAGCGTGCTGCGCCGTATTTTACTTCTATCTGCCCGACGGAAAAAATGCCCCCGCTAGCAGACCCCATGCTCTTTGATCCTTCTTTTGAGCTCACTAGTGCTCTCTGTGTGAAGTCTACAAAATCATGGTCTGTACAGAAATCATCCGACCTCTACCGTGTTGGTGGATGGGGTGCCCCGTACTACAAGATCAATTCTCGCGGCAACATGGCCGTACGACCCTTCGGTGCAAAAACTGCCCCCAATGACGAGATCGATCTAATGGATACCATCCGGGAGGTGGTGGCGAGCCAGGACAATATAACCATGCCGCTGATAATCAGGTTCCCCGACATTGTGAAGAATCGGATGGACACTTTGCAGTCAGCTTTCGACAGAGGCATCGCACGTCACAGGTATTCTGGACGATTCCAGGGGGTTTTCCCTGTGAAATGCAATCCTGATCGGTACCTAATAGAGGAGATTGTCTCCCATGGTCGCTATATTAACTTCGGCCTTGAAGCCGGATCCAAGCCCGAACTTCTACTGGTCATGGCCGCCATGTGCAGGGCCAGCAACGACGCTTTCCTGATCTGTAACGGATACAAGGATGTCGAATACGTGGAAATGGCGCTGGTAGCCCGGACCATGGGTCTGAATACTATGATTGTTTTGGAGCAGTTGGAAGAGCTCGACATTGTCATTAAGGTTAGTAACCAGTTGCAAATTCGGCCTGTCATCGGTGTGCGGGCGAAGCTGAGTACCAAACATGCAGGTCATTGGGGCGAGACCTCGGGTGAAAAAGGAAAATTTGGCCTGTCTACTTCCGAAATTGTACAGGTTGTTAAACGATTGCGGAAGGTGGATATGTCGGATTGCCTGCAGCTCCTGCACTTTCACATCGGTTCTCAGATCCCATCACTTTCCATTGTTAGAGAGGGCGTTAGCGAGGCTGCGCACATCTTTTGCGAGCTAGCGCTCATGGGTGCCAACATGAATGTCATTGACATTGGAGGTGGTCTAGGCGTGGACTATGACGGGACGCACTCTTCATCCTCTGATATGTCTATCGGCTATAATATGGAGGAATATGCGGAAACGGTTGTCGAGGCCATTAAGGATGCAACCGTCCAGAAGAATGTGAAGCAGCCTATTCTATGCTGCGAGAGCGGGCGTGCGCTCGTTTCTCACCACTCGGTGCTTGTATTCGACGTTTTTTCGGCACACAAGAATGGTGGGACTGGGTCCGACCGCGGCATTTCCTACAACATAGACGGTCTTCCTGAAGAGTTGAAGTATCTGAGGGATGATTTTGCGAGGAGTCTTGACAATGGGGACCCTGAGTGTATCTTGATGTGTGCGAAGAAGCTCAAGAACGAGAGCACCCGTCTGTTTAAGCAAGGATTGCTTGGCCTCGAGGTTCGTGCAGCCATTGACGAGTTGTTTGAAACGGTCTCTGTCTACGTTGGCCAGCAGAAAAATGATAGTTCCATGAACCTCGTGAATCAGAATGGTTGTGATGACCAATGTAGACCTCGTGAAGCAGGAAGCGACAGTTCCGCAACTTATCATATCAATTTATCCATCTTCAAGTCCATTCCGGATAGTTGGGCCATCGGTCAGCTCTTTCCATTTGTACCTCTGCATCGATTGGAGAGTCAGCCGACTGAGAGAGTCATCCTCTCTGATCTCACATGCGACAGTGACGGAAAGGTTGTGACTTTCATAGGGAATGACAAGTTCGGAGCGGAGACTGCGAATCATCTGCCCCTTCATGAGCTTGAAGATGACAAGCCCTATTACATGGGAATGTTCCTAGGAGGAGCTTATCAGGAGGTTCTTGGAAGTTTGCATAACCTCTTTGGTAATCCTCATGTCGTTCACGTAGTGCCATCGAAGAGTGCTGGCGGAGTCCGCATAACAAAGTTTCTTCCTGGTCAGAATCTGGCGAATGTGTTGTGCGCAATGAATCATGCGCCGCAATTGATGTATGAGAACCTGAAAGAACGAGTTGACAATTATTTGCGGGAGGGTACCTTGGAGAAGGAGAACGCCGAAGTGATACTGATGTCCAGTTTCAGTTCATACACATATCTTGCTCCAGATAAGCACAGCCGTGCTTTCCATCAGAACAAGTTCATTTACTCTTAAGGCACCAGTTATCGTGCCTTCTCATAAGCTCCTTTTTTTAAAAAATATATTAATTTTTTCTTTTAGGTTTTTAAGTTTCGCTGTCCAGTTATACAGATTTAGGCATGGGCTTTGCATTCACCGTGGGATTGACAGTGTCCATGGTGTTCGGAGATTATTGTTTCTCGCCCAATTCTACACATTCATTCTACCCAATAGACGCTGCACTTTACCAATTGCGAAGTTGTGTATTTTGTCCTCTACGTTCACTTTCACATTTTATCGAATTCGGCACGAAGTTTAAAGAATGTTACCATGCTCGCAAGAGTTTTTTTGAAATTTCACTTGCCAAATGAGTCCTTGTGTATTACATCTCTTCGAGTGAAATTCAACTCTTCCACTGCTTGAATTACACGTAAATGAATTTGGAAGAAATGGCCATTGTGGTATTCTAATCGCTCTACATCTCCTTCGGCGGTGGACAATCTGAGGTTGTGTATAAATTAAGAGTCCATGGAATAGTGCGTCTTTAGACCATCAGATAGTACTGTGCTGGTGCGTCCACTTTTAGAAAGACATTAGCTGTGTTATGAAGGTTACTGTTCCCTTTTTCTTCTTCTAATAGCATGTGCAGTAACCCTCCAATCATTCATTGCAAGGTTGGACCTATTGCTGGTACGATTGGTTCAGCATCTTTTATGGAATAGGAGTTGATAATGAAGTTCTACACTCTTGAGACTGTTTTTCTCACTTTCTGGCCAGTACCAGTGTATTTCTGTTGAGTTCATAGAAGTACCTATAATATCATCTATGTTGGAGTGGTATTTAGAGCCTGCCATTCATCTTCTTAACAATCAGTACTGGTTAGTGGCTGTGGGGCATAAACATTATTAAGTTTGTCTGTTTGTTTGCTTTTATTTCTTCTTTATCCCTTCTTTTCAGAATATGTATTTTATGACACTGTATATATTTTTGGAACATAATAGAATCATTATCTCCATGGTAGCATACATGAAGCAATGTTAGACAACTAAAAGCTGGAATTTGAACCAAACACCTCATGGTACCAACCTGCCATCCTTTGGCAGTTAAAGACCTAATATGCATTATACCTTCAATCAATATATGTTATACCTTCAGTCAGCTATGCTGCATTACTTGCTGTGATGTGTTGGTGCACTGTGGTTTCTGGTGGCCTCATTGAGAGATCCCTCAGACAGTTTCTTTACTTTGAACTTTCTTCACATTAAATCTTATTGCCTGAGCAGGTGGAAATTCTGGTATGCAGCACATTGTTCCCTTTGAATTGTCAGCACCTCTAGTTCAAATGGGATAATTTTGCCTTAAGTGATGATAAACAAAGTTTTGCAAGTACTAAGAATGTTAAAGTTGTCTTTCACATGCTTGATTAGTTGCATGATTATTATTTTACTTGTAGAAGTTCTGAACACAAGTGAGCATGTTTTTTAATTGCTGCAACAAAAGACCTAAAGACACTATTAAATATAAAAAACTACATTTGATTTATATACAAAAAAATCAACCAATCAATTTTCATTAAATCCATTCTATTTGAATATTTATGATATAAATTAGAGACAATGAACAAAGTACTTTGTTACACACACACACACTCTCTCTCCCTCTTCATATATTCCATCTGCATAAAATCTTGGTCCCTCTGGAATAAGTGATACTGTGATGTCATGACATAAATTCATTCACTGCCCTTTGGAAAATACATTATTTTTTTCATATCAAAACTAATGCCTCATACAAATGTGGTGGATACAAAAGGGTGTATGCACATATATATATATATATATATATATATGTATACATATGTGTACATATATATGTATATATATATATATATATATGTATACATATATAACTTTTTAGGGTTTCAAGGGAATCAGTGATGAGAAGGAGAGATGGATGGTGCCAGCCAGCAGTGGGGTTACATCATGAGAATACACCATCTGTTATCACAAGTGTGAGAATGCACGAAGTAGTTGTGGTAGCAGCAGCACATTAGTGAGAAGGTGTTTGAGGGGAAGGGGATGGATACCCACTTGATGTTCATATTGTTTCTCATGGGTAATGCCATAAGTAACCTCTCTCATCATTCAATGAATAGGAAGGAATCTTGGTTGATTTTTGTGTGTGCCTATATATGAATATATATATATATATATATATATATATAATATTTTTTCCATTTTAAAACTTTGAATAATCATTTTTTAAACTTGACTAGTTATGTTGGGTTTTTGAAGTATCTTGATATGGATAATATGGTAATGAATAATTATAAATGTGATTGTTATTTTTAGGGTATCATTAATGTCACCACAATTTTTTCTATTGCCACCACAACATCCCATCCATTCAATTTTTTTCTATTATTAAATTTTTGTACTATGAAAAAGATTATCAATATTTTTAATATGTTTTTTTCTAAAAATATATAGAAAGTAAATTTAATTTTAATAAAATATAATTTAAAATTTTAATAAAAATAAGAAGTAGTGACAATAGAAAAAAATTATTATGACAACAAAAAAAAAACTATAATAACATGCAGTGGATGGAAAATTGTGGTGACAATAGCAAAAAACCATGGTGCCATTAGCAACACCCTATTCATCTTAGATAAAGTTTGAAGGTTAAGGAACAATTTTGAAAAAAGAAAAAAGAAATATCACTTTTATAGTAGTTTAATGAAAAAAAAACATCATTTAAAAGACAATCCAATGTAGGGATAGATAAAGAAACAAATAGTGAAGGCATGAAATAAAGAATATGTGTGTGAAAGTAAAGGCATGTGTTCCTCCCCCTTGTAAAGAAGATGTGGATGTGGAAATAGGTTCTGTGGATGACAAATGTAAGCAAGAGAGAGTGAGATAGAGACTTGGGGGACAATGGGTGGGTAAGTAAATGAGCAAGTGTGTGAGAGTATGTGTCTTTAGTGATGGATGTGTGGGGGTGGATTTGCCAATGCTTTTGGATTTCAACATGATGTAGATGTGTTTTTTTGTAATAGATGTAGAATGCAATGTTTTGCTCTAGGAAACAAAGCAGAAAAATAAATAAATATGTTTCTTAAATAAAACAACTTAGGGGGGATAAATCAACAAGATAAACTAGAGGAGACAAAAACCATCTCTAATTGGTTGCATATCTCATAGTTTTCATCAAAAGTGAAGCAATAACTCAACTTAGGATCAATTAGAGATCAAATTCTGCATGCTATTGGTGCAGATTGTCGAAAGTAGCATTGCAAGCTCACCAAGTGTGGAGCTCAAAAACTCCCAATCAAGGTTATGAAAAACAATGTTGCTTCTGCAGCTGTGGTGGATTCCATGCGGTCTTCAATTTCTTGCCTTTGTCTTCTTGCATGGCATTGTTGAATTGCTAGTTAAGAACTAATTTTTTTTGGTGGTATTAGACATTAGAAGTTATTCAAAAATTTTGATTTGCTACTTAAATTAATGATTCTAGTACATATGTCTTATTTTCATTACAAAGATAGCACCAACCAAATGCAAATATTGGTACATGGCCAATGGCATGGGTTTCCACTAATATATATATATATACATATATACACACACACTTATTCAATTGTATGTACACAAGTACATATATGTACTTAAGACAAACAAACAGACACAGAGGTCCTTCTCATTCAACGGAGGCTTCTTCCTGATCTGTCCTTAACAGAGATCACTCAAAGAAGCTCGGGAGGGAGGAATTTCAGAAGTAGAAACGATGGATGGATGAATGGATGAGTGGATGAATTTCAGGATGTAATATGGATAATAAATTAGTAAAGGGATGAGTGGATTATCACACTGACTCAAGATGGGCACCTGGAGATGGAGAGGCCGATAGTTAGTCATTCTGGACACACATTTCATAATAATAATAATAAAAAGGAGGCAATGAACCAATCAATCAATCAACCATCCAACCAACCATCTAACCAAACTTCCTCTGCCCTCCACTTCTTGTGGGCTGGGTCAAGGAAAGACCAACGCAAAAAAGTATAAAGTCACTAACAAGTAAAAAAGAGGATTGAAATTAAAGGCAAACAAAAAGACAAAAGAGAAAAAACCGAAGGGGCTACTATCAAGCACCTTCTGGAAAGGTATGTGCTGCTTGCTGTGTGGCTGGGAAGAGTGGCTTCTTTGGCAAATTCATCAAGTGTGTATAACTTGTGGCTTCCCACCGTGCAAAAAGAAAGCACAAATTCACGTTCGATGGAAAACTTGGTGAATTTGTGAATTGAATTGTAAATTTTTTGCTTACAAGTAATTAATTGATTGTTGGAAAAGCTGCAAAGTGATTGGTCTTAATTGCATGTATTTGATGAATATAGTAGACAAATCAATTATATTATCTTTTTGCATAGTTTTGATACACATTCTTCGATCTATTTTTATGCACTCATTTCATTTAAACATTACATGTTGAAAAACCTGGAAAAACTCTGCCTTTTTTTTTTTTTTTTTTTTTTTTTAATCATAAGCATAAGATAGGCTAAGTTTTTTTATGAAACCAAGTTATAGAAAGCTGTTGGTCTTACTTCCAAGATTGGATTTAGGCATTTGATTATTGATTTGTGCAAAGAAAAAAATTTGTTTTTTTTTATATTTACAAACTAAATACGAAGGATTTTACACATTGTTTTACTACAACGCCATCATTCATTCGGGAATCTCTGTTTGGTGCAAACTTAACTGTTTGCTGTCACTTGTCTGAGAGGCTGACAATTAGAGTAACTTAACGGTCTGCTACCGATGACTTCAAAAGATTCAAATCATGCAAGAGAATTGCAGCTGGATCACTAGTTGCTGGATTATCTCGGCAACCTCTGCCACTTTTCATGAGAACTCTAGTGCGTTTATCATGATCTACATGTGCAGGTTTGCTTGTATTCATCTTTACGTTTGGACTTTCCATGTATTCTCAAAAAAACGAGTCAACCTGAGAGAGCACACCACGCACAATCCCACAATTGGTGTGCAGTGGTTATATTCACATTTTACCTTGCAGATTTATACACAGTGGCCTCTTTCCTCTCTGCCATCCACGACAACTCTGACCCATGTGAGTTACAAAGGCCTGCGGCGATTTATCCTCCACGTTAGCCATGTTCCATTAGACATAAGAAGTAGAATTCGTCCAAAGTTCGCAAAAGAAGGACGACTTGGGTAACACAACCCTCGGAGTACGAGCCCTTCAAGCCAGGTGACTTCAGTCTATTACTTGACATGTGACAGCTGTCAGTGATTCGTCACCAAGTAGAAGGGAGAAGAAAGTCTTTCTATCATAGATTTCTTTTTTCCTTCAGTTTTTTCGGTACTTCGCAGAGACCATGTTTCAAATGGCACACTGGTGCGCAGACTGTCAACTGGTTCAGGGTTTGTGTTTCATTCCTGGTGTCAGACAACACGCCGAGCAAATTCAAGGAAATAATACAACCGCAACTGCCTGCTTTCTCAAATTGCCAGGACAGCGGGGTTTTGAGCCGCTTGTAGGTCTTAATTTAACACAGGTACAGGAATTTTCCTTCCGTGCACCTGAAATACACCTGCTCTTCGTTGCTGGATGTTTTCCTCAAGCATTTCGGGAGGATAGTTACATGGCCCTTTCTTGTTAAGACACAGTCTTGTGTCTACATAATGCCAGTTAGTGATGTTTGTTTAGTGTAAATTATCTCCAACCCCGAATTTTATATGTGTCCCGTAATGTTAACCTTCCCCTCCGGTTTTGGCCTCTTTGCCCTTTCCGCGTTGTTAACCTCGTGCAAGAATGCGCAGCTAGATCCGTTCCTGCAACCCCTGGAAGTGCTGAAGTATAAGCAAGCCTTACGAGATTTTCCCCGAGATTGACCTAACCGACTGGGTTGATCGCTGTCACCTTGTCTTACTGAAAGTGCTGCCATCTCAACAACATCCCTCCCTGCCCATCTCGCTCTAGAATCAGGCCTCTCAGACCTCTCCGTACGCTCTGCACTTTCTATCCTCCTCTCCCTGTCAGGACCAATTGTTTTGGGCCACGCAACCCCTCGATAGCTGTTTCCGGTATCAATTGCTCCTGCTCCTCCCAACACACTCTCTTCATCTTTTCTTCCATGCTGTGAAATAAGGTCCTTGTAATATTGTTCACCTCGCTGTGAAATGGGGCGCCCTGAACCAGACACAGCTGGCTGGTCATAGCCAGCAGAGAGTTGGGATATAGAAGAGAGGGGAATAGACCCGGAAGGTCCATACCCTTGTCCCGGTTGAGGAGGTGCTTGACCAAGTCCGTTGGTACCTGGAGGTGCTCCAAAGCCAGGCGGCCTGTCATAACCATGGCTCGTGTGAAGATCTTCCACAACTGCCGGTGCTTCAGCGTATCGTTGTCCACCCTTATTCTGGTCAGTCATCGTAGGATTCCAAACTCGTCCATTTCCACGAGCTCCCATTCCATTGTGATCCACACTGTCTGGGTTTCTGCGATTTACTCCATGATTTCCTGGCGGATTCTGTGCCAGCTTCTCAGAAAGACTCTGAAGCATGGAAGGGTTTGTAAGGAATTTAATGAGCAACTCTCGATCTATCATCGTTGCATCATTTGATTGCTGTAATGCCGCGTAGGCAGCGGCGGTAGCTGCGGCAACGTCTGGTTCCGTCCCTCCCTCCGTTGTGCGAGCAGGGAGGGCCATAGATCCTATGCGACCGTTGAACGTGTTCATGGTCTGCACAGCAGTGCCATTCGGGGGAACTAGGTTTTTACTTATAGTGATGGGTGGTCCGTATGCTGATGCTGTGGATGTTGCTAATAGGAAGCTATTATTATCTTGAGGAGCTTCTGGAAACCAATTTCGAGATTTCACATGCGTGCTTGAAGAGGGAAACCCTGGTGGAGGAGACACAGATTTTTGGCCTGCATGTCGAGTTTAGAAGTTCAAACCACCGTGTCAATATTAATTGAAGTGAATTCAAAGAACAATACTGCAGAAGTGTCGCAACATCGCAGAGAGCGTCCAAACTTAAACGGAAGGACAGGTAACGACGACAACTGGCTCTCTTCCTACAACCCAGGACTAAAAACAACAGGAACAATGAGCTCATGTCAAGGCTTACCTTACATAGATACAAATACCAAACACTACAAGAACAAGGCTCACCTGAAAAAGACTCTTGTAGACGTTCATATGTGCTATCTGAAGGTGTTAAACCTTCATCTACATCAGGCAACTCATCATCTTCTAATGGAACAACTGGGATTATGAGTGTGTTTGAATCGTCTGAATCGAAAGGCAAGTGGACTTCGGAAGGCTCTGCTGGACTGGAAAGCAATAAGCCATGTGGTATTAGAAAGTGTCACATGCAAGCAGTTGCACCAACTAGCTCACAACCATTTTGCAGCAAGTAACGGGGATGCTCAATGCCAAAGCAAATTCATCAGTTTATGACTTCCAAAGTAGCACGGAATCTTCATATGGAATACAAATAACAACGAAACAAAAATGACGACTATCAACGTACCTTTCAGGAATAGCCGAGGGTCGAGGATAAACGGCCTCAAGTGTCCTGTTTTCTCGCTGTTTTTGAGCGAACACTTCTTTACTGTCTCCACCAGCCATGACGAGCCAAGCTGGGTCCAGTTTGAACTGAATCAAAACACATTCGACATCAGATGCTCCACTCATTGCCATAGAAAGCTTGGTCAAAACAAAACAAACTGAAAACTAAGAACTGCAAACTTCGTTGAGCAATTGTTTACATCCAGCACCTCGATCACAGGCATAGTACTCGGAAAAAGAAACAAAATTAGACATTGTTCATTCAAAGGGCATTCGATTAGAAAGCGGCCTAGCAATAACACAAAGCAAACTGGATACATAAACTGCGAACTTCTTTGAGCAAGATCACGCGCATCCAGCTCCTCAATCTGAGTCAATAGCCTCTGTCATACGTTCGGAGAAAGATATCTAAATCTGACACTATGCATCGAAAAGAGTAATCGATTGGGAAGTGACAATGAATCCCCGCGGAGAAAACTCTAACCTCCTTTAAAAATTAGGATCATCTGCACAGATTCGAACAATGCGTGACAAGAAAGTTACCTAACTAAATGATGAATGGGATGAACTGTGCACTGCAGAAAGGAACTTACATGTTCTGGAACCCGCCATGGCACAGATGGAAAGATGGCTGCTATAACTGGCTTTGTTCCCATTGACATGGAAGGTCCAAATCCTGGAGGAAGATCCACAGGAACCACAGGATTCAATGCATGCATAAACCTCGCCTTTTTGGCCTGGAGAAGATCTTGAAGCATGATACTAGATTGGGCAGGTGCATCTTCTGCTGCAAAGAGCCGCACCTGCGTCACATATTTGCACATAAATCAGTTTGCGCGCCTAGTACAGAAGTAAAAGTGCTTCGTTGGTAATTTCAGAAAGGAAGAGTCGCCTGCGTACACCAGGTCTTGACACAGAGATGGAAGATAAGTAACAAAGGTATCATGTCTTTCGAGACAGGAAGCACAGCCGTTTGAGACAAGACACTCTTTGTCTCCTGAGCCGCCTCCTGATTAAGACAGAAATGACAAATTTCTCACAGCGAGCTAGTAGGAAACGTAGGAATTTAGAGTATGACATTGATATTTCAACGTGTTTTCGTCGTCATATACTTCGTCAAGAGGTGAGCCCCATGAAAAAATGCACATGAAACGCAGTATTGATATGAGACCTTCCGTTTGCGCAGTAATGAGCTGTTTCAAAACATTGCAGAGGTAGCAGGAAGCTGTGTCATTCTCGTAAAGATACTCTGACCTTCACAAATGCTATTCGTATTGAAGCTGTATGTATGTCTTTCAGTGTGACAGTCAAAACTAGCTGTCTTCCAAGTTGAAGGTGATGTAAACGATCGGACTGCATGTCAGCCGTAACAGATGGATTCCAGATTTACAAGATTTGGTTACAAGTCCTTGTGCCTTCAATTTACAGAAACATTTCTTTATTCAACACCCTCCATTGAGCTCTGGATATGTTTGTAAGCTAAAACGCGCACCTCTCCGCAATAAATTAAACTTAGACAATAGACCAATTTACTACTTCGAAATCCTACTCCTAACCGCGATGCCTAGTTAAGACTTGATTAATAACCGGACCACGTACCTAAAGACAAAGAAGCAAGATAGAGTACAGGGAAAACATTTCATTCTTCAGATTCCCGTGAACAGGAAAACAAGGAATACTAGACGGAGCAAACAGTAACGCGTAAATTTATCAGAACTATCTACAAAACATCGGGAATTGAGGACAGCACCGACGTTTTCACAAGAGAAGCACAAAGTACACCTTAAAACTTCATATGTGGAAAAGACGATAACTAAGTCGGAGAATGAAGAGAAGTAATAACGTAACTCAACATACACGTATCTCAGTTAGCCTGCTTTAACACATTGTAAGAACAAGGTGTTCCACTGAAAATTCTTCAGGAACTCCAAACTATCCTACAAAGACATGACTGAGACCTTGCACAACAACTCTTGAATCTCGGAAAGAGCTACCCTCGTTCCCCTAAATCTTCCGGGGGAGACATCTAATTGATTCACCAATGCAGATGATCGGCACGTTTTAATAAGTAAGCCGATGTGTACGTAACAGATTCAATTCATTACGCGTCATTATCCTTTTTCAGAACGGTATTGTTTTTATGGCCTGTATTCGAGCTCCTTGACAGATTTCACAAAGATTGTATTTATGCTTTCTCATAAATTTCACGAAGATTGTGTTGACACAATCGTAAGTGATGTATTGTTCCGGATTCTGCTGAATTTCCAGATGGTAGCGATTTCTCAAATATTTCCTGAGATATCGTTTGCAATATATGTTACCCGTTCATGGCTCTTCCATTTCCAACCCTCGCTCTTTAGAATTTGACCAGTTAGGATTTAATACGTCTTCACACTTTCATTCACTTTGAAACTTACCGCCTGAGGTCTGAGACAAAGATAGGAAATACTAATCTTTGCACACCAAAAACAAGAAAAAATTTGGCATAAGGGAGAAACGTTAGATGGAGGAGGAGGAATGACCTGACACAGGTTGTCTTCTGAGGCCCATGACACTTTCTTACTCACTCTTGCCTGGTTTGGGACGATTGTTTCCGGAACGGGCTGAACAGGAAGTGTTCCCGCAACTGCCCCTTCGAAACCTGGAGGTAGAGAAGAAACAGCGGCCATCGCGAACACTTGACTACTTTTTTCACTCACCAAATAACCGTGGAAGCGTGAAGCCCTAACAAAAATACCTGACAAAATGCGTACCGTTCTTAAATTTTACCCCATCAGCCCTTATATCCACTCACTACACAACAGATTCACTCAACCCTAGAACCAAGTCAACGCTCTCAAGCTCTCCTTGAACTCCCAAATAGTACCTCCCTACAAACACTTCAAGCCTCTAGCTCTCCTATCAGATCACCACCCCATCTTATCACACCGCCGCCTGCCAAACCCCGAACACTCCACACACAAACACACGCACTCAACTTTCACCCGAACAACATACGAAAGCCACAGAAATGAACAAACTCTAAAGCTAACGACACACATGCGCACGCGCGCAAGACTACCTCTATGACACCACCTGGCTCCAAGACCGAGAGGAGGCACTTTCAAACACTGAGGCTCACGAGACTGATGATCGAGCGCCAACAAGCCCTGCTAGAGCCACTTCAGTAGGGCAACCGGCAGTGCAAAAACGCGTGACGAAGTGCACGCAGAGAGGAAGAATCGCGAAGGAAGTGCTGGCCGGAGAGGAGTAAGTGATACATGGCCAGGGGAGAAGGTGTACAAGGCAAGGCCAGTCGAGATCCGATCCGCCCAGTGGGAGCGAGCGAGCGAGCGAGCGAGCGAAAGACAATGGCGTCGAGGCACGGTGACTGAGAAAAGGCAAAGTGTGTCATTAGGGTTTCGACTGCACCGCGGGCGGGCGGGATCTGGCAAACGCGAGCGCGTGGGCAGAGGCGTGAGTAGCCATCCATCGATCATTCATCCATGTGGATGAACACTTGGAGAAGCCCAATCTTTTCGTCGTACCATTCTGGGATTCATTCTGTTCGTGTGGATGAATGAAGAAGTATTGTGATAGGATTCATCCCTCAACATTCATTCTACTTTCCAGAGGGTCACCACTTTCATGACTAATAACATGGTGCCATTTGCACCCATTGTCTTCCTTTTTTATTACTCTATTTCTGTTGTCAGCTTGTTTCCTGTTGTAGTAATCAGAGGCAAAAACTGATGCAGCAGTAAGTTATGCCATGCATTGTATTGTATGCAAGTATGTATATGTGTATATAAATATATATATATATAGAGAGAGAGAGAGAGATATATATATATATATATATATATATATAGGGAATTGTTATATTGTCCCAGGCATTTATTAAATTGATCCATCTATCATAACCATCATCAAAAAAATTCTCCACTGCCAGATTTGCAATGGACAAAAAAAACTAACAGTTCAAAGGTAATATCTTAACAAGATTATTTGATCTAAAAAGAAAAAGAGATAATCTACCACCAATAAAAAAACTGAAATAGTTTTCATCATCTCAAATAGATAATGTTGATATATTATAGCATTTTTGATTAATTATATAAATATACAGTTATTATATATATATATATATATATATATATTATTTTTTACTATCCACATCAAGCAACATCTTTTAAAACATAAATCAAATTTTGAAATAAGCTTTGTTGTTATATTGAATATTCAAATATTAGTACAGAGCCAATGTGTTGTCATGCTAGAATTTTATAAACTTTTAGTGGCTAAACATTGTAATTTCAATAAGAAGTTTTAACTATTTTTCGAAATAATTGGTAAATTCAAATGTTGAAGTTCAACAGAGAATTTAAACTTTAAGACGACATATGTACCATATTTTTTAAAACTAAAAATATCTTTCATCACTTTTAAAACTATTATTTATTTTAAAATAACCTTAGTATTTTCCTCTCATAAATATTATATGATATGCTCCTTCTTTAAAAAGTTTCTTAATATCAAGTCATAAAATTGACATTAAAATTTTAAAAATTCAACTTAAGCTTAATCATTTAGAAAAAAATAAAATTATTAAACACTTGAAAAGATTCTATGGTGTGGTTTAAGGAGATTTATAATAAAATTTCTTACAAATTCTAAATATTTATTCAAGGGTTATTTATTTATTTAATAGTAAACACTAAAAAATCAAAGGAAAAAATGTAAGAATTTTAGGGGGTAAAATTGAGATGGCATCTAGTAAACTGGAATTTAAAGGTATTACAGTTTTTTTCCCTTTAATTTTTTTGAATAAAATATATTTGCACTGTAAAATATAATATTTTAAGAGTATTTACAGAATCAATAGTATCTTTATCAAACCGTTCTTAGAAAATAATACATAAAGGTGAAAAAATCATTGTTCATGATTTGAGTTTTTTAAAATATTATTATTCTTATTCTTATAATAATAATATTTAATTTATGAATAAGAAAAGTATATTATAAAAAAATCTTATTTTTTAGTGGTATAAGTTTTAGCAAATTTTGACACAACTTCTATTTATTTTCCTTCTGAAAACCACCTCTTGAGAAAAGTCCAACAAAAATTATGGGAGACCTCACTGTTCATGTTATGTTGGAAAAAAGTCCATTCCACCGTATATTTTCCTCTTAAGGCCTTTAGTTTGATTTTATTAAGTATATAACCAATTAATGTGCACCTTGTATGTAGGAAACAAGGTGAGAAACCCCCACTTCTAAATCTCCTTGAGTTTTTTACTTTAAAAAAAGTCTAAAGGCCCTAAGAAACAAATATGATGTAGAATGCATTTTTTTTGCTGCATGGCATTAATAGTGTTATTCTTCTAAATTTTTGTTGGATCTATCTTAAGAAGTGGCTTTTAGAAAAAAATATAGAAGCTATATTATAAATTACTATTATATATATACATATATATATATATATATATATATTTATAATCATTAAGGTTAAGATACAAGTTGATATATGTAAAACTTGTAATAAAGTAATGATTTGATCTATTTTATTGCCTCTTTTTAATTTATATTGTATCTAAAGGCCAATGCTTTTAAAGAAAGATTTTGTTTTTCACCAAGCATAAGACTTTAGAACCATGGCCTTTCAAATTGGACTTCTAGATATAAAGACCTCCTTAGTGAGGATTTTCAATTTCAGCTCATCAAAGAATTTAAAATTTGTGGCCTGCCATCTTGTCTTCAAAGTACAGAAACCCTCTTAGCTTAGCCATTTAGCTATCTCATTGTATTTTTATTTTATTTTATCTTTTTTATTACTCCTTGGCTTTTATTGAATAAGATTTATATTTAATAATATTAAAATATCCATTTCATATTCAAAAAAAAAACTATTATTTGTGTTGTCATAAATGTAGAAAATAATTTTAAAAATAAATTTTTAAAAATAAATTTTTAAAAATATTATTGAGTATTTGTTTTATATCATGTGTATTTCTATAAAAACAATACACATCAAGTATTACAAAAATGGTGGTCAGTCACATATCTTTTGCATGTTGTTAAAAAAACTTCATACATTTTTTAAGTGGCAATTTTTGTTTTATTGTGTGTATTCTAAAATCTCAATATATTAGATTCAAATTACTATTATTTTACTTATTATACAACTGTTATTTTATTTTTTATTTTTTTTACTCATGACATACTTTATACCTCAAATACACCTATTTGCTCAGAATAAATATTAGCCATTGTATTAGTCACCTTATATAGTACATATTGAAAAAAACCTCATGGTGACAGTTCATTGAACTTGGTTACACAATATGCATTTCAAACAAACTAAAATATTCCTTCAATTAGGATTGGCACTTATAAATCCAAAATCAAGGAGTATAGAAGAGATGAGGCCAATATACTAAGTTTGCACAGAATTTGGGTAAACACAGCCTTGCTCCTCTCTAGACAAATATCACATGCAGTGATCAAAAGTTTACAAAAAAACAAACAAACAAACAAACACACAAACTAAGAACTAGACAGCTTTGCAATTTCACAAAGAGAACAACACAAGTCACCATGTGGTCTCTCCTATACTTGAAAGAATGAAGAGTATGGTTTTTATTCGAAGGAGTTTGCCTCTGTTGCATTGGAGATATTACCTCAATTAATGTCCAACAGGAGCTACCATGTCTTTAAAATTAAATAATTCATTTTTCTAAATATTTGTCAATAGCAGCTTGAGCAGTAAAAACTAGCCCATATTTTATCCTAGATCTCATCATGCTGTCTTCAGCTACTGCAGCTCCATTTCCATGATGCCCATTGTCAGTCATTGCTTCTGGGCAAACAACTGAACAACATGTGTTTCAGGGTGTGATCAAATTTCATAAGTACAAGGCCTCCTTTGGATGGTTGTGTTAATACAGGGATTGTTGGAGCAGCATTCTGTATGGTGCAACAAATAATGCTTGCTTTTGTAATGATGTTGTTTCCAGTATTATCCATCCTGCTCTTCACAGTGGAAGCCATCAGCTGGGAGGTGTTGTATACATACACAAGAAAAAGTAGCTCTAGCTAAGGTATATGGGCTTCCCCTCAGACATTGCCTATTTTTCTGCATCCATTTCTTCATTATCTAGTACCATGTGCTTTTGGGTAACAGTGGCCTTCTCCATTTACAGAATTGGTTTTAAGGAGGAAAATAAGGATTTGTTAGTCAGTTGAATTACACAATGTTTCAGGAAATGAAGCACTGGGTTTTCACTTTTAAGTGGCAGAGGGACCCTTAACTGCATCATATCAGCATGATGCCACAAATTGTACATCACCCCTTGGCATGCCACTTCCACATTGAATACATGACAAGATACTTGTGGCACATAAGCCAGATGTAGTACAACAAAGCTTTACTAAGACTATACATGGATCAAAAAGCATGCCTAACACACCACAAACTTCCCAAGCATAATGTGTGCAAATTCCAATAACAAAATTATGCTCAATGCAGCAAACACAAGTCACTAAACATGTCATGAGAGGGTGCAAATTGGCTAACTAATTGAAACCTGCATTGTTTCAAAAAATATTCTGACACATTCATGCAGCTCGGGCATGATCTTTCTGACTAACTATTTCAGGTAAAGGTGCAAGGTTATCTTCTGGCTATAATTCTAAGATTGTTTACGATGCATAGAAGCAAAACTCTGTGTTGTCAACATATTCTACACAAACTCTTAAGTTAGTTATTTAAAGTCTAAATCAAAGATTTTACAACTAATCTGGTTGCGACTAAATGTATGATGGTGGCAGTGCTAACAAATTATACAAAGGGAGGATAACAATTGTGGAACCACCTAAATGATGGATCGGAGGGAAAATTGATTTAATTGAATTTAATAGACTAAATGGAGGCGCCTTAATTCAACTTGAAAAGTCCCACTTGCATTTAAAGTACGTTGAGCAAGATTTCGAATGTCTTCTCTTGAGCATTCACGAGAAATTCGCACAAGTTCCCACAAAGCGCCTCCCGCAACAAGGTCTTTGGCGTTCACTTCTGCAAAGTTTACACAAAAGAACTATTAGATGCCTCATCAGGTTTGGCCTATTTAGTATCCATAGAAATTCTCTTATTGACGAATGATGATCATCACCAACTGTTTTGTAGAGGGGATGCAACAAACAATTGTCTACACTGAAAAATCAAGTACGGCTAATTCCATACCATGTTGAGCTAAGTGACAAAGAGCCAGTTCGATATGACGGCGAATCGGTGATGCCTCATTGTTAGCATTGGCTACAATCCAAGGCAAGGCTCCATCATCGATAAGTAAAGATCTCCCTAATTTGTAACCTGCAATTATTATATAAAATGTCAATCCTAACCGCGTAACACTGGACAGAAAGAAGTAAAAAATAACCACAATGCATCATTAGGTAGAAAAAGATACCTTGAGCAGCACCACGTGACTCACACTTGGCGAAGTTAGCAATTCCCCGCGCAACTTGGGCCAGCACGTCGGGATGTCGTGATCGAACCATGCCAAGGAGTGCACGAATGCCTCCTTCTTCCCTGAGTTTGACCTGCAACTTGTCTGCATATATCTCACGACATAAGAATTCAATACTAGATTGTGGAATCAATCCAAATTAAAAACTTCAGTTGAATTCAACTCAGAACGAATCGCTAAGACAGAACACATGAAAACTAAAGACATGAAGGGAAAATAATGTTAGAGACCATACTCCCAACTTAAGAACGGCAGCAACATCGAAAATGAGAGAGAAGAACGAAGTGCAAAAGTTCAGGGGAAATATTGGTATTTGCACGTAAGGAATGAAAATAGGAATTACCATTGCCACATAGGTTTGCTATAGCACCGGCTACCATTCGCAGTGTTTGAGGATCTTCAGCATCATCAGCTGTTCGCGCTAAAAGACCTATTCCTCCTTGAGACATAATTAATTCTTGATTTGTCTCTGCACTCAGAACTGGGAAGATTAGATCTCACGATGAATTTTCTGAAGAAAAAACTGACAGATCTTGAAGATTAAGATTAAAAAAGACCTAAAACACAAAAAAATGTAAATGACACGTACCATTCATTGCAAGATTGGCCACAGCACCAGCAGCTACACGCCTAATGGTTTCATCTTCTGAGCTTTGTAGAAGCATGAGCAAGGATCCCAAGCCTCCAGCCTCTACTATCTTCTCCTGGTTGGCTTCTGGAATACACATACATTTGCCTTCTTCAGGAATTGTCTGCCTTGCTTTTAATTAAACAGGCAAATAGAATGATAATTTGAAATAAACCAACAAGGGATAAACTTGATTGAAATTTAATGATTCCTTTGTACGAGAAGAGAAGATTGAATCACCTTCAGCTGCGAGATTTGCCACCACCTTTACAGCGTGGACGCGAACATCAACATCCTCAGATTCCAGCAAGGAGAGTATCTTGTGCAGGCCAACTATACAAAACGAAAGAAACGGGTAACAGTAAGTATAAAAATATTCAGATTACAGGTCCATGGTTATTTTAGAGGGCTCAAGTACATGTGACGTGGCTGAAACAATCATTTTAGCTGAACATTTTCTAGGAAGTTGCTCGATCCACCGACGCGTCCACATGTAGCGTGTTGAGAATGTCTAGTCAACATTACCTTGTTCAAAGAGCTTGGCAATGGTTGCTCTTTGGCCATTGATAGTGTCTCGCATATGACTAGGCTTACTCATACTTATAAGTGGGCTTTCTGAACCAATTGAGCTCCTGCCTGAACCCATGCCTCCATTAGTCATAATTCTCCTCGAGTGCTGTGGATCATGAACCAAAAAGTTAGTTATAGTTATGTTGAAAGATAACTGATCACCTTTTAATTAATCAATACACAGTTGCTCATATTCAGCTGGAATTAGTGTTTCTACCACAAAAGGTTATTTCGTTTCCATTATTCAAAGAATAAAAAATGGAAGTTGTCACCTGAGTCTAGCCAAATAAAGATAAAAAGTTGCGATGACGACTAACCACTTCCTCATGCTCCTCGGTAAGGACTGCAACTTGCTCCTTGAGATGGCGGATTTCCTCCTCCATTCTTTCCCTCTCCCTCAGCTCCTCATCAAGCCTGTGCCTCACCGTGAGAAGTTCGTCGCCTTGTTGCTTTGTCAGGCTTCCATTCACGCCCCGTTTTGACATCTGGGTCTTCGTAGACTTTAGCTCTTGCTCTAACTCCTCGCGCTTCTGGCGTTCATTTTCCAGCAAGGTGCTAAGCTCCGCAATCTCTTTACTTTGACCAACAGATTCTTCGCGCCTCCTCTGACGTTCATTTTCTAGCAGTGTCCGAAGTTCCTCAATTTCCTTCTTTTGGACATTGGACACCTTCAATAAAAATTCATAAGTCAAAGGATATCAGCACATTTCCTGGCTCTAAATGAGGCAAAGTTTTGTACAATTCTAGGGTATCCAAACTAAAAACCTATTTTATGCTTGGCCTAAATGAGTTTAAAATAGGTACGCGCACTAAAAAACTCGTGTGATGCTTTCGTCTAATGCTAAAAGGGAGGATGCATACGAAGGTGGAGAAGACTTTTCACACGCACCATCTGTCTATCTGATGAGAACAGTTTTAAAGGACTAAGAGATACTGAGGTGAGTCTTCGAGTCTCCAAAACTGTAGACATGTTAGAAGATCTACAAAGACATAGAGTATACCTCTGAATCTCGTTGGATTTGAGACGTAAGACTTCGGCGCTCCTCGACACGCTCAAGCTCCTCAATCTTAAGTAGTTGGCTGGCCAGCTCTTCTTCCAAGCGTTCACGATGTTCCCGCTCACGCTTCTCGTTCTCCAGTGCTGTTGCCAATTCTAACTGATGTTTCTCCACTTGCTGCATTAATTCTTTCTGATGCTTCTCCATTTTTTCCGTCATCTCTTTCTGCAGCTTCAGGTTCTCTAATTGCGTGTGCTTCTGGTAACCCAACCATCAAAGCAACTATAACTGTGTGTACGATTTATTTTTACCAATTATATGAAACAATCAGAAAAGCGACGAAAGGAAAAATTTAGAACAACTGAAAGGATGTCTCAGTGAACACAGTCACCATCGAATAATCTATTAGATCTGGTCACAATCAGTACATGTTCTATGCACATGTGTATGTCCAACACTGCCACTCACCTCTTGTTGATCATTCTGGCGTTCGGAAGCAAGCGCTTGGATTTCCTCCTGCAGCTTGTCCCGAACATGAATAACCTCTTCCAGTCTCCGTCGGAGTTCCTCCACCTCCTCACATCCTTTCTCACAACTTTGCCGCAATTCGGACACTTCCCGTTCGTAGATACTTCGCTCTTCATTTATAGACTGTAACCATCACAATGCTTTCAATATGTCAGACAAGAGCAGTCCACCACATTGAGAACGAAAATTAAACCTAAACTAGCGCCGTAAATCGACCTAATGGGAAGGCAATGACATTGTACTTCGGAACACTTCAGTATAAGGCTGCTAAAGCACTCCAAAGTACATGAAGCTTGTGAAGGATGACAAATGGAGCACTTCATAACTCAGTCTTCAACTAAAAGTTCGCCTACATAATCTTCCTAGTCACAGATGACGTACATCCATTGCAGTTTGAAGCCGAGTCTCAGCTTCCATAACAAGCTGACGACTTTCCTCCACTACTCGGTCTAATTCTTCGTCATTCTCCAGTCGAATCTTTATCTGCCTCTCATTCTCGGCGACGAGCCTGTCTAGTTCAGCTTCCATCCTTCGACAAAGACTTTTATAATCAAATTCCTCTTTTAACTTGACCATATTTTCGACCTTCATGGCCTGTACCAGATTTCCAAAGCTTCACGTTATCAAAAAAAAAATACAGTTGCTTCCCCTGGTAAAATGATTTTCAAATAAATATACCTCAGTTGAGATAGTAATGAAGGGACACGAATGCTTACTCGCTGTCCAAACATGATAGTACTGGTTGTTTCTCCTCTATGTCTCGGTGAAGGTCCAATGGTCACAATCAAGGATGTTCTAGCAGTTCCTGCAAGTGAAATTATCAACGCATTTCAGATAAGCACTTTCAAATAAGCATTTCTGTAGCGTAGTTATAGTGGGTTGCTTTTTTGGAACAGTTTCAAAACTTATTTTGTCGTCCTTGGCCGATTCAAGGGTCGTAATTTAAAACCAGAAAATATACAGGACACTCATGGAGAACCATCTTACCACCAAATGAATCACGTAAAAGTCTCGTCAATTTAGAATCCCGAATGGGCACATGAGGACTGTTTTCCGCTAAAGCATTGATACACTTCCCCAATGCTGTCAATGATAAATTGATAGACTTAGCTTCTTCCAATGTATGGCCTTCACTGCCTGTGTTCATGCCACAACAAGAATTTAATGAAAGTTCATTTTCCGTCACCCCTATATTGAACAAGGAAATATGTAGAGAGCATTGCTACAACTTTTAAAAAGAAAAAAAATCTAGAAATAACAATGCTCTTAACCACATTGCACGAAAAAATGCATAGCGACGTAGACTTGCGTGATAACCATGAAAAATGAAAAGCAAAACTGTGAAGCAACCTGATTTATCAACACGTTCTGAACCAGCGAGATCTACAATGAGGAGTTTGCTTTTTCGAATCGTAGGTGCACGCATCCCCTTTACTGAATGCGAGCCTCCATTCCCATTCTCAGGAGGAACAACAACCTCCTTATTTCTCACTGCTTTCTTCACTTGTACCTACAGCAGTAATGTGACAGAAGTTGGACATCTTAGTATTTCCTCCGAAATCTACGGGATACCAAATTTAGGAGGTCACAGCACTGTTCAGGTCTGAGAAGTGACTATAATCGTATTAGTAAGTACAAAATTTTGTCAAATATCAGATGCTTCATAGCAGTAAATGCGTGCAGGTGGTGATAGAACGCCACGCACCAATAAAATCGCATGACTTCGCGAGGATTCTGTATTAAGTTTTGTATTCGCAGCAAATCGATTTGCTTCACCAACGTCTAATAGGTTGCAGAAGCTCTGGTGATCAGTCACTTGAATTTGAGTGGCACCAGGTACCGACACATCTCCTGTCTTGGGGTCTTCTTGAATTGCAATGTTATCCTTTTCAGGTGATAGCAGGTCTTGTACTGATTCCATGTAGAGCTGCAACCCGACTTAGCATTTTCATTTGAGATCGAGTATGGAGCATTTGAGAACAAATATAAGCAAAACGATTTTTAATACTGGAGTAAAAATCGCAGAGTTTATTTGTACCTGTAAATACGACACAGTAACTGTGTCATGTACAGGGTTGATAACAGCCAAGATATCCTCCAAAGCACGGACCATGATTCCTCGATCAGCTGTGTCTTCGTCACCTAGCTTACCGAGAGTAAACGTCTTTCCTGTGCCTGTTTGGCCATAGGCCATGACTGTACCATTGTACCCTTCAAGGACGCTCTGAAAGTTAACAGAATAAGACATCAAAACTCGAGACGATGCACACTACAACTTTAGATCGCCAATCAAGCTACATTAAAAACCTAGAATTCACACAAGGGAACCACCGCTAGAAATCACTGATCAACAGGCATGTTCCAAAAATTACCAAGATTCCTTTCTGCATCTAATAGAAACGCTGACTAGCTCTAAATAGCAAAGTGCACGCCAAACTGAACACAGGAAATCGTTCAGGACCTCCACGACAGGTTTTGCAACAACTTCATAAACACGTTTTTGGGAAGCGGTGTCCGTGAGGATCTCATCAAATTGATACGTCTCACAGTCCCAGTTGTTTTTGCGGAGCTTCAACCTTTTCAGCTGCAAGGGGAGGGTCAAAGCTCATTAGCTGCTCAGAGTCTTCAATTCAAGTAAATCCAATCCCGACTTATTTAGAAAAAGACAAGTTGTATTTTGATTGGTTGCTATACCTCGGGTTGAAGCTCCACACAATCGGCAAAATCACGATCAGACTCCAACTCTTCTGCATTCCTTGGTCGCAACCGTACCGTTACTCGTACTCGATTAGCTACTGCAATCCCACAATTTCTGAGTCAATCCCGCACTGTGCCTCCCATGAAATTGTCTCAGTAATAACAAGGCACCACACATGCAAAAAAATCATATTTTCACCGTCTGTTAAAGAAGATGAATTTGCCGAAAGTTCTAGTGGAGACCAGTTTCATTAATGCTGTAGGTTCCCTAGTGCTACATCATGTACTCCTAACAACCAGAAAGAAAAAAGAAAGTACCTCTCCAACATTAATTTAACTCTAAAATTCTAGTCAAGAATAAGATTCCCCTATTTCAAATATCTTCCTGAAGTAACGATTAATTGAAGGCAGTGAGAACTACGAACGAAATCCAACTCTGCCTAATTTGGAAATGATGCTACGACATTTATGAAGAAATACCCTGCGATGTGTTTCGATAGGTATGCTTAAGCGAACACACCCTTCACAAATGCGTACAGAAATAAGTTACGAGAGAACATATGCGTGGTGCACAAGAACTCAGAGCTTGTCCATCTGAGCTAAACGAGAGTGGATAGACAAATACTGTATGTGTACCCGCTCCTTAATGGAACGAAGCAGGATTGGACAGAATGAACATAACTGTTTAATGTTGCTGATCCACATACTAGCATAAGATGTATCCTTTCATCAGCACACCTGACCCTAACAATCTGATGGGCTATCCGAGATGCTGCGCTTAAAATCCACCTACGATTGGAGTGCACATTAATATCTGGTTGGCAATAGATTTATAGACTAACCACGGGGTACTCTATATAAGAAAGGTCACCAAGCCCGTCAGAAAATCTGAAACTAGAAGAGGCAGAAGCACATTGAAAGCCTCAAAGTGATCTCTGTTATGACATGAGCAGCCTGCTAGATCTAGATTGTAGCAACTGGCCTTTCCCGAAATATGGGCGAAAAACTGATCAAGGCCGCAGTGGAGGTTGTATGTTGCAAAACTTAGATAAACTGAAGTGCCTCGGGTGCAGAAATCCTACAATTTGGCCTCTAATTAATATCCCCTCGCTGGTACATGTCCCTTAAGATGCTTGCATGGGCACAACAATTAAGTAACCTTATTATTAGCTGAAACAACAAGATTTGTGTAGAAGACTTGAGAGACAGTTTATCCTCAAGAAAAGACAGAAAGAAGTAGTCCCACTCCACATGATTTCCTAGAAGAGATCATGGACCCCAAGATGTCCATCTACCCGTGATATTCGTAGCATAGTCGAGGATTGTGAAGAGAGAAAAGGAGAAATGCTGGAAAAGGTGTAACCGGAAAATGACATGATAGGTGCACAATTGTCAATTGAATGGCAGACTAAAAATTGCGTACCGCCGCCGTCATGAGATTGTCTGGTCGATCCATTGCTCTGGCGCCTAGTAGAAGAGACAGAGGTTGAAGAAGTCGTGGAAGAAACCGAGGCGGACTTGGGGCGAGAAGTTGTAGAGGTGGAAGAAGAAATAGGTTGAGAGGGCGACGGGCAAGCCTGATTCTTGAGAGAGTTCACGGAAAGGGGCCGGGAACTCTTGTGCGTCTGGGCGAATGCCATGCTTCGAATCTGCCTGACTCACCGCATCCAGTAAGGTCGATCTTCACTCACGATCAAGCGACAAGGAGTCCGGGACTGCGACTGCGATCCGATGCACTGCCTACGCCGGCTATATAATCACAAATGCTGAAGAAGACGATATATCCTGTAAGCTTGAATGACCCTGGAGACTCTCGGTCCTGAAAACCAAAACACTGTACTCGAAATTTTCAGAAGGCTTCAATTCTGCGTAACAAGCAGATAGGAAGTCATCAACACCAATCCGTCCATGGGCTTCTCTTTCTCAGAACCACCAATAGCACTACTGAGCTTCATTCCAAAGTCCCTGATACCGCAAGCATCTCCGAAACCAATGCGCCAATCCTGAGAGCGCGAAATCAACCAATACTTTGATCAGACAAGCAGAATGCACGTCGACGACCACCAAACTCAGTGAACCAAACCCCATGCATACGATAAAACCATCAGAACCCCAGCGCTCCACACTCTCCACTGCAAGACCAAAGCAAACACCTCCGCGCGCGGATCCAAAGCCCCAACCCCAAAATCTCAATCCCTCACCAAAAAAAAACAAACAAACAAACAAACAAACAAACAAAACAAATCCAGGTCCACTCGACCACCACTCACCCTGCATCGAAAATGCAACCTCGCAAACCAGCTTCCTTCACTTCATTCACTAACATTCAACAAGAGACCACCAGATCCAACAACCTCACGGCCCAAATAAATTCTGAAAAAGCACGCGGGACGAAAACCGTCTAAAGCCTGGTCGCTGGATCCCGAAAGCGAAAAGACAGGGAGAAGAATGAATTCAGATGACGACTACTACAGGAGAGAGAGAGAGAGAGAGAGAGAGAAATTGAAAGCGAGGACATGAAAAGGCGGGATGCGACAGAGGAGTGGAGATGGAAGGAAGTAAGGAAACGGAGTGGAGTGGAGTGGAGTGCTGCGATGCGATGCGAGAGAAGGGGCAGGAGCTATGGCGAAGGGGCCGGAGGAGGAATGGAAAAATGCATCTCTCTCTCTCGGTGCAGCCAACGGGGCCAGCCCAACCATCCAAACTGCATTGCCAACCAAGGCGGGGACCCCCTTTTCCCAAAGCCAGGACACACCCGCACCCCCCCGCCCCCGCCCACTGCTTCCTCGGGTGGGGGTGGGCCGGCCTCGGGCGGCTCTCACCGGGTGGCCCGCCGTTTTAGCGGCGCGGGCTGGGTCCAAGAGAGTTGGGGGGGGGAGAAGGGCCATGCGCGCCTTGGGATGCGACTCCCGAGACAGACGCCCTCCTCCTGCAAAGAAACAACGCGAGACCTACGGCTTCTTCGAATGATACCCGGTCGATATTTAGCCCATTCGGTTTACTTATTCTTAAAAATATTATCATTATTAATATTCCCCCCCTCAATCCCTCCCTCCCTCCCTCCCTGAACGATCGAGTGAGTGAGTGAACTTTCTTACTTTCACACCTCCCCCCCCCCCCGGCTCTTCCATTTTGCATTCTCCACTCCAGTCCCCGCTTCCCCTTACGCTTTAGTCACCTTGGCTTCTACTTCTTCTTCGTCTTCCCCTGTGGAGGAGCAACTTGAAGGGAGCTGCTGCGTTTGTCGAATCACGATCCAATTTGCATTCTAGAATCCTGTTCTGGCCCATTGGAGGCCTTCCAAGTGGCCTTGTGTCATGGCGGCCCTACTGACTGTGCAATCCCATCCATGCCTGTTGCTGTTGTTGTTATTGTTGTGGTTATTTTTTGTATTGGATTATCCAATGAAACAAACTGCACTGTGTTATCATTGAAACGAATTCATCTCTGTAATTCTCAGCCCGTGCGTTGGTTGTGGTGGAGAGTTTTCTTTTAGGGTAGATTGTACACTACCTGGTAGCATTTGCTTGGATATGGCCCCTAGAACCCCTGTTATGCTGTGTAGCCTTTTGGTGGAGCTTGAACAGCAAGGACATTGTGGCCAAGTGTCTGATTATCAGTTGCAATCAGCATAGGGCCTAAAATCTCAGGCACCAGATTGTGTGCACAGAAGCTGAGGTTTTGATTTAACAAAGGGAGAACAACCTTTTTGCTTGTTGGTTGAGTCGCTCAAATTCATGTGATTGCAAAAGGTGACTAGGGGTTTAGTAACCTATTCAAGAGTTAGGGCTATTGGCAATTTCAAGGAAGTGATTGACATTTTGTATCCATACACACATTCATTTATTTATTTCTAAAGAAAGAAAGAATGAAACGGATGTTCATTAGTGAATTCGTGGATTATTACAAATTGGTGAGAAATTTCTTGGTGATAAATAATCAGAGCACTCTGGCACCATAATTGATTTTCTTCATAAATTCCTTTAAAAAGAAGAAACTGTGAAGTCACCATCCAGGGGAGTGAAGAGGAGAGAGTATTATCTACATAGGCATGGAATTATCCCTGGTGGGCTATATTATTTAAAGCTGATTGCCAAGTATCTTGTCAAATATATATATATATATATATATATATACATATGTATGGATATTATTATTATATATTTTTTTTTTTCATTCAGGTTGCAACCAAGGTATGCCATGAGGTATACCTGTGAATGGTTTAGAGCCATAGCCATGCCCAAAAAATCAGCATATTAACACAGATGGATGTGTTCAATTCTTTGTCGAATTTGATGGAGCATTCAGGTGCCACACTCAATGGCACACACACACACAGACAGAAAGAGAGTGTGTGTGTGTGTGAGAGAGAGAGGGTGGGTTGGGAGCTCTCTCATGTACAAATGGAGGCAAGTTGGTTTGCACACTCTCCTCAGGGTGATGGGATGGTCTGATGGATTTGATTGATTTGGAGTTAATAGGGGGCTGTCATTGTGTGTAGAGGGAGGCAAATTCAACCCCCATGGAAAAATCACTCCCCCCCTCCCCTTTCTGTCCCAGGTGGAGAACAGAAAAAGGGAGTACAAAGCATGGGAGTCAGCCTAATTGTCACAGTTAATTCTGGTCAGGTCTTGTTTTGTTTATTTATGTCTCATTTTTATATATATATATATATATATTCTTACCCTCATGAGTATAATACTCCACACACCTTTCTATACACTGCAAGAGAATTTTCTATACAGAACACTGTATCTTTGTTCTCTCTCTCTCTCTCTCTCTCTCTCTCTTGCTGTGTGAGTATAAATCATGATTCATTCATTTTTCATCTTATTTTCCTGTCTAGATGGAGGTGGGGTGCTGGCAACCTCACTGGGTAGTCATGCATACAACATAATGAAATGGGAATGTGATTGGTTTTAAGGCAGTGCTGTGCAATGCAGAGTTTTGGCTGCTTGCCTTTGGCTCTGTGGAAGGAATCCATGATGAGCCTGAATACACACTCACACACACACTCACATACTCTCACTCGCACACAGACAAACAAACACACACGTGGAGATTGGCATCTGGATGAGATGAGGAAACCACAGACAGAGACATATCCTTTTCCTTACCAACTTCCCTCTTGTTGTTGCATGGGCTCCTTCCTTTTGCCTTCAAGAGCCTTTGATTTCCAGCACATCCAAAATATAGTTCTCTGATTTGTTATGTGCTGTCAAGGAATTTTCCAGGGGTTGTGTAAATGTAAATTCAACATTAGAAGATTTTTGTAGGGCAACAAACAAATAATTGACGATGGGATAGTAACATTCTGGGTCCATTTTGGAAGATGGGGATCTTGTGAAACTCTTTCACACCCAGTTGAAACTCTTTCTGGGAATGCAATTGAACTTTGTGAACTCTGTATGAAGACCATTCTTCATCCTCAATACTACTGGTAAGCTCTTCAATATACAAGTTTTCTTGTTTGTTTGCTTGTTTTATTGTTCATGTTGTTTTTGTACACAATTAAAAAAAATGAATTGATTTGGGGAATGTAATATCATCACCATTGTCATATTATCTTTAGTGCACTCTTCTTTTTAATAGGCGTGAAGACAAATCATAGTTGGACTTAATCATCCAATTTGGATGTTGATATGTATGTATGTATGTGTGTATGTGTGTACATATTTATATATAAATGTACTTTCAAAAATTTCAAAAAGCTTCTTCACATTCACTAGACCTCATTCATTCATTTATTTATTTATTTACAGATGCATGCTTGGTAGTAAATACAATATCTTGTGTCTTATGCTTGGAGTGTAATTTTAAAATTGTATATACATGTGTATGTAGACATTATCAGAAATAATATTTTATAGCTTAATTATAGTTTTGGATGTACATTCTCCTATACATTAGCCATTCAGATGAAATGTATAGTAAGTAAGTAAGTGGTACTTTTTCAATGAAATGTTGCATCAAAGTTTTATTTGTCCAAAACATGGAGTTTTCACAGGGATGTGACACTTTAGAAGTCCAATAACTTATACCAAAATAGTTTGTTCTCATGTTTGGTAGAGGGCCTTAATCACTAGTACTAAAAAATTACACATTGCTACTATTTGATGAAAATAGTAGCAATGTGTATACAAATAAGATTTACATATTATTAAAAAAATAAAAGATATACATTAGTATTTTTGTATCAATATACCATAGTATATAAATGAGCAAAGATTTCAATATATAGAAGATTTCTTTTTTACTAAGATTTGATAATAGAAAAAATTAAAAAATAAATTTAATTTAATTTAAAAAGACACATAAATTATTTTTCTATTTAGTTAAATAATAGAATTACTAAATCTTGTCAATATTTAGTATAAGAAATTTCTAAATACCTACTAAATAATATGAAAATTTTATTACAAGGTTGTTATTTCTACTTATTTATTAAAATTTTACAAATAAAGATATCAATAGTAAGCAAGCTCTCCATGTTCTAATTATGTTGAATAAAAACTTGAGACAAAACTACAATAGTTTTATTTTGACTTGAATTATGTCTCAACAAATAAATTTTTTTCCTAATATGATTTCTTTTATATCTTATTTCTTATATATATATATATATATATATATATATATATATTGATATCTAAAATCTTTATCTTCTAAAATGTCTTCAAATATCAATATCTAAAACTTTTTACTAGATTATATGTACTTTATATCTCTCTATTTATTCAAAATTATATTTAATATATCTTTATTAATAATACTATTATTATTAGTTATTACGAAATATTTTATCTCTAATATAAAATATAAGTATAATATAATTATATGAGTTAGTTTTTGTAGTTTTTTAAAGTACACACAACATTAAAATTTACTTCAATTTTATTCTTGCTTTACTATAAAGACACCAAATTTTCTATCTTATTATATAGAATTTTTTTCAATATATTTGGTAATTTTTTAAACTTTCATACAAGTTTATTATTTGATATCTTTCTATACTTTTAGTCTAATCTATATAGATATCATTTTCTAGTTCTATATGTAAAAAGCAATAACAACACTAATTGCTCCAATCCCACATTATGTTGAACATTTATTGCCAAAATATATAACAAAGTGTTTTATTCATGTTTTTAAATTATTGAATTTTAATTTAATAAAAAAAATATTTAATTTTTTAACAATTTTTTTGCTATCAATTTGGCCCAACATATTATTCCATTTTTTTTGGAAATTTTTTACCTTGTAAAAGCCTACTTATAACTATATTTTCCTTCTTTCAAGTAATTGTACTAAATTATGTGTAATTTTTATTTAAAAACATGTTTTCTTCATCCATTTATATCTTATTTTTAACTTTTTAAATATTTTTGTAAAAAAATTAAATAGATTACTTAACAATAGTAAACTCACCATTTTATATGATTTAAAAAATTACTATTGTACTTAATTAATTAAATGTTTTAATAATATATTTCTTCTTTTTATATTTGTGGTTTAAAGTTTGATCTATCTTTACTATTATTTACCCAAAAAATATTAAATTTCAAAATCCCTTTTAAATAATATGAGTGTTTAGAAATATAAATCGCTATAATAAATAAAATAAATACAGTATAAATCTCCTTCTTCTTTTTTTTCTTTTTTTTTTTTTTTTACATTATAATTTATCAACATCAAAATTTAATAATTTTTTACATA